AATTTGGCTTTATATGAAGAATGAAATATTAATTTAAACTTTAAAGAGGAATAAACAGGGGTTTAAAAATACCATTAAAATATATAGATAAATGAATGTAAGGGATCAATCGAAGGAGAGGTGGGGAAATATTGATGGCACCAGCATATTTCTTCCTTTAACAACAATATGTACTGTAGCCGAACATCCCTATCGAAATATTTTTGGTATTTAAAAAAATCAATAAAACCCCCACAATAAAATGGAAGATATTAAAAAAAAAAGAAAACGAGAATATGTAAGTCCTTAAATGACCCATGACCTTTGTCTCTACGTGAATATCTATACATTGTTAAGTTTCTAAAAAATAATGGTAATAAACAATATTTATATCGACACACATCCTCCCCACAATATTTTCCCCATAAATATAGCAACATTTAAACAATTATAACTATATATTTGTGAGCTTGTGCTTGTGTGTCTGTTTTTCCTTGCTAGAAAGAGCGTCAATGTCTGATAAAAGGGAATACTGTTCATGTATATTCAAACCTACACACACTTATATACGTGCATACACACAAGCACATGATCATATAAAGATACGTACAACGTGTGATATTGCCTGCTTAAGATTATCTTTTCTCAGCTATAGATCTATTTTTATCCACCTGTTCAGCCATACTACGTTTTTCAGCTGGCGATGCGGGCGTGGGCGTACTTTTTTTTGCGAAGAGAAGATACCTACGCAATTTCCTCAATTATAAGATGTAATACAACATGGCTTAAGAAAGATAATTTCTCATCTCTTTTTATTTACCTTGACGACCATCTTTGTGCAACATCTTTCTTGAGAGCTGACCACTGATTTTTTTTTCAACTAGTTACATCTTCCCGTTCTTAAGTTTTTATCCAATCGGCTTTGAGCACACACATACACACACGTGCGCACGCACACACATAAACACAAATACACGCACGCACGCACACACACACACACATAAGCACACACAAACACAAACGAAAACACATATAAGCACACAAACACACACATAAACATACGCAAACACACACAAACGAAAAGACACACACAAACGAAAAGACACACACACACAAACACACACACACACACACAAACACACACACACAGAGAAAGGAAAGCATTCATCGGTCCCACCTGAAAGGCATTTTAAATTGAGAAAGCGTGTCAGTTAATGATGAATGTTACATTGGACCATTAATAATGTGGGCTAATTCGGAAGCGCTAATTTTGAATGAGATACCGACGAAAAATTAGATTCAATAAACGAAAAACAAAATGGCTTCTTAGCGTCTTTTACTAATTCTCCTGCAACACAACAATGAATTAATAAATAAAAATTGCATACTTGTTGATTCGTATTAACCATTGTCTGTCATAACTAACAACGGATACAAAAGCTACTCTGCTGTTATTATTTGACTAATAATTATACCAATAGTAAAAAAAATGCTTTCGAATACGTAATAGTAATTCTGAAAACCGTTAACTCCAACATTTGAGTAATTGAAGGTAAGGGAAAGTAGACATCTTTAACTAGAATGGTAACAGAACAGAACACATTCTAATGAGACACTTCATATACGCGGGGGCAAAGGTTGTAATTGCACTTATATTCATGAAGTTGAGGTACAAAAAAAGAAAAGCTCATCAGAACAATTTCTATTAAAATCTTTCTAGAAAAGGCACACATGAACCATTTCCAGGACAATTTCCATTAAAATATTTCTAGAAAAGGAAACATTTGAACCATTTCAAGGACAATTTCCATTAAAATATTTCTAACAAAAGCACAGATGAAGCATTTCCAGATCAATTTCTATTAAAATATTTATAGAAAAGGCACAAATGAACCATTTCCAGAACAATTTGCATTAAAATATTTATGGAAAAGGCACAGTAAAACATTTCCAGAATAATTTTCATTGAAATATTTACAGAAAAAGTACAGTTGAACCATTTCCCGGACAATCTCCCATTAAAATATTTCTAGCAAAGTCACAGATGAACCATTTCCAGAACAGTTTCTATTAAAATACTTATAAAAAGGGCACAGATGAACCATCTCTGATAATTAAATACTATTACTTCCATTATTCTAGTAGTGCACAATGTAAACAGACAAGATAGAAACATATGGCATTCTAATTCATAAAGGATGTTGGTTTATGGCTAAATTAAAAATAGTACAAGTAAATGGTCTTTGTGAATCCGGTTCATAACAGCGAATATCATTTGTCTGAAAATCTAATCTTCACTTCACCGAATAATCCAAACGTAAAAAAATAAAAGGAGATAACTGTTATATTTGAATAATGAATTCTTAAATTCTTTATGTTTTATGGGAAATATTTATAGGCTTCAGGAACATTTATCCCGCAAACAATATTGACGGACTCTGTGTGAGTCCGGGTAAAAACAAAGACACAAAATAAAGAATATAAAACAAATGACAATGCATGTTATTAACAAGAGGAATTATATATTTAGACAATTGTAACGATATGAAAAGACATGGAAACTAGCTATAAGAAGAATGTAGTTGTGTGTGTGTGTAGATCACGCGTATGTGATAGACACGTGTGCGTGTGTGAGAAAGTTCACAAGTCAACTGAAGACCAAAGAAGCGAATGCGCCTAACCAGCAGCGATTTTTTTCATCTACATCTGAAAGCAAGAGCTAAAAAGATGACAGATAATATAGACCCGAAGAGCGTCCCCTAGCAGGCGTTTTGCCAAAGCCAAGTGGGATAATCCACAAATATTTAATTGGGGTGTAGAAGTCAAGTGACTTACCTGCCAAGATGGTTGCCTTCTTCTGCTTCCTTGTAAAGCAAGCCAGCTGATTTTACCTTATTTTATAGGAGAGTGCCTAATACACCAGTAGGTTGGTCCATTTTGCTAGAATGGACCTGCCCAATACATTTGCATGAGTGGTCTTTATTCACCCATATATTTCTCCATGAAATGACTCAAGGCAGTTGTTTAGCTTTGGCTACACTTGCCTACTTGTGTGTTAGACCACTGGCAAGCTAACCAATATTCTACATGGCGCTGTGAACAGGATCTGATGATTGGCAAGAGCTACTTATCAAAGTTGGCATTCCTGCTGACTCTGCCAGGACCTATGCTGAATCTTTTGTAAAGGAAAGCATTACCAAGGATATCCTCTCTATGATAGACCGGGAAATCCTTAAAGAACTAAGTGTCACAACCATGGGACATGCCCTAGCTATCCTCAAACTATCAAAGGAGCAGCCTTTGACATCAGACAGCTACACAAAGGGCCCCTGCAGTCAAACTCCCCCAGCTCCACTCAGAGATGACGTCACAGCAATTCCGAAAGTTCAGAATTGACTGGGAGGTATTTGTACAAATGACAAACATGCTCCCTGCACAGACCAACCTAACTGGTGTATTAGGCGCTCTCCTATAAAATGAGGTAAAATCAGCTGGCTTGCTTTACAAGGAAACAGAAGAAGGCAGCCATATTGGTAGGTAAGTCACTTGACTTCTACATCTCTCCTCCTTTCCCCATTGCGTTGGGGAAGAATCATTGGCCGTTACAAGGAAACAGGGAGCAGCCAATAAATACTTGTTCCCCATTGCCCGTTGGGGAAAAGTTCCCTACCTACATCAATACAGGCGGCCTTGCTAAAATATATCTTATCGATGTTATTGCAGATGTACAATGCTTGCTTTGTCGGTGTTTCTCCAACAATAAATTGAACAGGCAACCATCCCTGGCTTATAAGGGTTGAGCCACCTACTGCACGAATAACTTTCTTTGATGGGATCAAGTTACTTTCCTTGAGACCCATGCAATGTAGGTGCTTGGGTCCTCCAAGGCAGAAGGTGGTCCCACTGTCTGGGAAGATCTTCAAACGAGTTCTTTGATTACCCGGAATATCTTCAGGATTTCTGGGGTCAGGCCTTGGAGAAAATGGGACCAGTGTTGCTTCTGTCTCCACAACACTATTTTTGTTAGATGACACATATGAGACTGTCTCCTGGTCAAACTCTACATGTGCAATCAAACTGTCCATGTTAGCTTCATCGTCTTGAAGGCCACTCACTTCACTAGAGTGACTTCTTGATCTGGATCGGCAAACATTTCAAAAATGACTTTGGATGCCACACGTGTCACAGGTCTGATTCCATGCAGGACATGCCTGTTGGTGGGTGCTGGTTCCTGGGATGTCATGCTTGTGGCTACCACATCCACTACAACGCAAATTGTTCTGTTTTATAATCAGTTTTTTGGGGCACCCAGATTGAGGGGGATTTTTTTTCACTTGTGTTTTTTTTTCTTTACGATAGGTTGATGCACACAATGCCGACATTTCGAGTGTCCCTGCCATTTGTGCTTGGTCACGCAGTGCTGCCTCACCTTTCTCAGCTTACTCATTCCGACAATTCCTAAAAACCTGGGCTGTTAAACAAAGAATTTCATCAGTGGCCTATCCCCAGTCTAACGGACGTGCAGAATTAGCAGTCAAGACTGCAAAAAGACTCATAAAAGACTGCACAGGACACCAGGGTTCCTTGGACAATGACATGGCAGCAGAAGCAATCCTGCAATATAGAAACACCCCTATCCAAGGCATTGGCTTATCACCAGCACAACTCCTGCTTCATAGACTTCGGGATTTTATCCCATCGCACCCACAGTTATATAAACCACACCCCGAATGGATAGCCGCAGCGCAAAAACGTGAAAAGAAATTATCCAAACGTAATGCAGACCTTATCGAGAGGTGCAACCGTACATGCCCTATCCCCACTTTATAAGGGTGACACAGTCTCCATTCAAAACCCAAATAGCCGTCGATGGGACATAGCTGGGCGAATGGTAGAGACGCTTCCCAACCGTCAATATAGAATTAGAGTTGCAGGATCAGGCAGAATAACACTGCGGAACTGTAGGTTCCTAAGAAAATTTGAAACGCCCATAATCAAGACCTCCCCCCATACCAAGCGCCATGCTTGTGTCACCTGAGCCGACAATTACAGATATGTGTAGGCCACATCAATCTGTCAAAGAGTCGGGAAATGGTGACATTACATTGCGAAATGATCTAGCGTCCCAGGCCCCTACTCAATCACCGCCATCAAGAACCAGGATTCCAAGGGCGCTATCCCGACTACTACCGTACAATCGTCCAGGCAATAGAGAACTAATTCCTTCCCAACGGCAAATATGCTCCCGCAATGGGGAGAGGAGGGAGATGTAGAAGTCAAGTGACTTAGCTGCCAACATGGCTGCCTTCTTCTGTTTCCTTGTAAAGCAAGCCAGCTGATTTTACCTCATTTTATAGGAGAGTGCCTAATACACCAGTTAGGTTGGTCCATTTTGCTAGAATGGACCTGCCCAATACATTTGCATGAGTGGTCTTTATTCACTCATATATCCCTCCATTAAATGACTCAAGTCAGTTTTTTTAGCTTTGGCTACACTTGCCTACTTGTGTGTTAGACCACTGGCAGGCTAACCAATATTCTACATAGGGTATATATTTTGTGAAAATACAAAACTATGGCACACGGACAAAAAATGAGGATGGAGATGTTTGGTCTTTTCTGCCTTATAATTAAACTTAGCTACAATAACTGACCCAAATGATTTTCCAAGCGTTGTTTAGATGTGACACAAGGCCGAAGGTGTTGAGCATTCAATGAGGATAGAACTTAGTACGTAGTTGTAATTGATAGAACAAGGCAAGCTTGCTACCTCTTACACCACGTCGCAGCATCCCATATATTTAAATAATTTTGGTTTTCGTCTTTTTTACTAGTTTTTAAATATTCCTAGAATAAAATCAAATTATTAAGCAACATTATTACCTGAATTAATACTTTAGTGTTGAATTCATGAAGGAAAGGTATTCATTATCACAAATAAACAATAGCATTTTAAAATGGCGCACTTTTTTTTAAAGCCCTATTCAGATATAAAAATTATTTCCTTTGGATTTTCTAACTTTAACCGAACCACTTAACGAAATGAAGATTCAATTTCACAAAATCATTTTAGGGCAAATGATATTTTCTGTATTCATTACGTCCCAGTCTTAACCCTCTTACAAACACAGGTTACGAAGGATATGCGATGAGAGTTCAAATCTCGATGGAGGCTCATTCTTTATTTCCGAATCATACTTCTTATTCAACGATCGTAGAATGACGATCTGGAAGTGGCAACAAGAATAAACAAAATAAAATGATAGAAATGCTAATCAGAAATTAATAAATACATTTATACTTTTTGAATATTGTAAAAGTGCTTAAAATTTTTCAAAAAATCTAGAATTTTATTTAACTTGTGGATATAGTTCTCGGTGAGAAGCCATGTGTTGCTTTTCATATTCGAAAGATCGGCTTCTGAAATAAATAACGTTCGATCGTATCTTTATATTCTATACTTCTCTTGCTAAGTAAATTGTTCTTAATCGAGATTATCTTGTCGATAATTGCCTCGAGCTCCCAAATTTTAAAATTCACAATACTTGGATCGTTCTTTCAATCTATGTAAGTGCTGTATAATGGACTCATTGAGTGGTTGTCTTGTCTCAAAATCTTGGTTCTTTCAGCAATGACCAATCTTTTCAGTGGTTTTATGTTCTTTTTTATAATTTTAACAATTTCTTCAAATGTCATTTCTTCTAATTCGCTCGTGTAATAAATTGTCGAAATTTTCTTCACAGCTTCGCACCCAGCGGTAGCAAGAAATACATCCGTTATCTCATTCTCTCCTCCGTCGGTATTTGTGTCTCTTAATTTTTCACTCTTGAAAATACTGAAAAAGTTCTTATCCATGCATCTATGTGTTCTGGGTCGTCCAGCGAATTGAACGATCCTATCGGCGACGCCATTGTCACGTTTGGTATATCTCTCTGTGTAGTAGCAGTCGTAGCATAGTACTCCGCGTTACGTTTAGTAAACGAGTTTGCTAAGCAATGCTTCTATGTTTGACAGTTGTTCTCTAATTATACTTGTCTATCTAATTTGCATACGATACTACAGATTGCAAAAAAAACTCGGATAATGTAATCTTTTGTAGGAAAACATTTTCCTGGTGAAATAGATGTTTTGTATCTAAAGTGAGACATTCTCTTTCTTTGCAATGGAGTCGACTTCCTGTCACATGTTTTACTTTTGCATAAATTAATCCGAATGCAATTAGTGTGAAGGTTGCGTAACGGTTATTGGCACAAGAAATGGAAACCGGTGAGCCGACTTCCAATCCCGAGTCTGCAGCGTTCAATTGGTACGATTCCCTTGGCAATAATCCACCTCTCGTTGCTTTGCCTCCTCCGTCAGCTATTAGCTATAAATACTGACACAGCCTGGGCTTTTTAGCATCTGATGGTAGATAGTCGAGAACTTCTGGGTATGACAATAAGCTACATCCGAGAGAAAGGCCTCTGATCGGAAAATTGGGTGTTTGAGGAGCGTGGAACCACCTCGTAATTGCTGTTTTTTCCCAGGCCCACTCTAACTTTGGGTGGTAGCACATGTTAGGGTAACAGGTATAGGCAAATAGTGAACTTCTAAACAAAAACAAATCACTATGATAGTATAAAAATACATTTTTATAGTAAAAATGCCAGCAATACATATTTATATAAAAATTACCAACAATACTTATTTATAGTAAAATTAGCAACAATAGCTATTTATAGTAAAATTAGCAACAATCTATATTTACAGCAGAATCACCACCTCGGTGGATTCGGGAAGTGAGGTCGAGAGGGTCAAACCTCATCTATCTATATATCTCCATTATAGACTAAAGGTTTTAGAGAGGGTTGATTTTTCAGCGCGTCCACGTCGTTGCCGAATGTGACACAAGGTCGATGTTTAAAATGCACAAGTCCCATCGGCAAGTCCCCCTTTTGCGGACGCCTCAGGCGCTGGGTATTGACGCCCTTCCCTCCTGAAGGATAGGCTTCGCTTAGAGGATGCCCCCCACCGGTCTTGAGCGTAATATTATTTTGAAACTACCCCAGCCAAAGTTTTAGAAAAGGATTTATCTAAAATTTAAAATATTCCAGGCCTAAGATTACCACTAACCAGCAAGGTAGATTAAAGAAAAAATAAAAGCAAAAATTTTAAAGAAACTTTATGCTATAATAAGTTAATTTTATTATTATTATTATTATTATTATTATTATTATCTATGTATGTATGTTTCCTGATTTGTATCCTGCAAAGCCAGGACCTAACTATTGTCATTAGGCTTTATAGAAGAATTGTCATTTAATTGATGGCACTTTTCTTAGTATATGGTATGTTCCTCGTCGGGCGATCTTCTGGGTAACTTGTACGTTGATGTTACCTGGGACACTGTTAGTAAAAGTGACCGTTCCTTTTCTAACGTGGCCAAGAGCTCCGATTACTATTGCTACGTTTCAGTTTCAATTCCCCACATTCTGTTAATCTCAATCACCAGGTCCTTGTATTCGGACAATGTCTCGATAATTTTCATGAAGTTGTTTCTCTCAGATGAGAATAAGCATGCACTTCCTGAATTTTCTTATCTTTTATGATAATATCTGTTGGCTTTTATTTCCCTGTCAGTTTGAATTGACATGTCCCAGAGGATAGTTACATCATTATTTTAGGAAACTGTGTCTTGTTGGTGCCCATACCATCTCTTAGTGGTTTCGATTTTGTGCTTCTTGCATATCCTCCAGTGCACATATGTCGTTATCTTGATATGTCGGTGAGTATATTAATTTTTTGCCAGTTCTGGATATCCTGAGATAATATGGTCGACAGTTTCATCATATTTTCCGAATATACTGCATTTCGAGTTAGTGTCATCCTTCATTATGTGACAGTGATAGGATCTGGTTGCGAGGCTTTGGTCTTGAGCTGGAATAATTAGGCTTGCTATCTCAGATTTCGACAAGGTGCTACTCAGTCACATATGTCTTTTCTGCTGGTCCATTATTATTATTATTGAATATATGGTAAAACTCTTCGCGAAGAGAAAGAACTCCTGGCTTGTAGTAAAAAGCACACAACCTTCAATTTTTAGGCTGTTCTTCGAAATCCAGAGTCTTGACCAAAGCTTTTGACCTATAGTGTATACATAGCTTATATGTATATAAGCCTCTACCTCGAGTGGCTCCTGAGCCTTGTACAGGGTGACGTTACTGTAAAAATAAATAATAGCATACCTAAACAACCATCATCCTCCCTAGGGAGGGATTGCGACATTATTGCTGGAATTCCTTGAGTATTTGCTCGCCTCGCTTATGACACAAAGTCGGTTTAAAGTGGGCTACACATAAGCCCTGTGCCCGCAACCAGTATCGATGTGGTGCTGGTATCCAGCAACCCTCAATCTTTAGAGCAATGGGGTAGGTGTTATCGCAGTTTTTGAATCCCCGGGATGTGGCACCCTACATTACAAAAACTGTGAACTTCCCGAAACAGAAACAGGGTAGAGAAAAAGAGAAAAGATAGTACATCGTATTCCAGGTGTAGAGTGGAGAGCACACATTGTGACCCAGTATTTATTCGCCACACCCAATCAACGCGACTCCTGACGTACTGGGCTTGGTATCCAAAACCTACTTCTCTTTAGTGCAATGAAAGTGCGACTGGTGTAGAGTTGCATTAAGTATTCAATTTTGTCAATTTAAAACTTATGTCATCTTACCCGCTGTTCAAAAGCGTTATCCTACAAATCCACATGAATTATTTAATCGATTATTATTATACATTATTTATTGCGGGGCTGTTCTCTTTATTTTTGTTGTTGTTATCGCAAAGTTTCGATGGTTGCTCCCTCTGGCTTTCATCAGTTGCTTGTCAATCCGGGTAACCTCCAGGGAACTTTGAAAGAACGCAGATTGTTCTCGTTTAGTTGGCCATTTCGGAACAAGAACAATCTACTCCCGTAGATTAAATAAAGGGTTCTGAATAATACTAAATAAACTAAATAAACTCTAACTAAAAACAAGACAATTATTTCTCAGTTATTCCACTAAGCTCCTTATGTTAGTCTCAAGGTTCTTGATAAGATCCAGAGAGGAATATGCAACGTAATTGGCCCTGATCTGGCATCTCGTCTGCAGTCGCTCTCTTACAGACTTGCCGTCGCCTCCCTCTGTCTTTTTTTACAAATACTTTCATGGAAACTGCTCCGAGGAGCTGCTTTCGCTGGTCCCCAAACTCCATGAATTTAAGCGTTCTACTAGGCTGGCATCTCGCTCTCACCCTTTCACTGTCGAAACTGTTAAATGTAGCCGTCACTTCTACTCCAATAGCTTTATGTCTCGCACCTCTCGCCTGTGGAACTCCCTCCCCTCTTCCTGTTTCGCTGATAGCTATAATCTCCAACTATTCAATGTAATGTTAATCGACGTCTCCAGATGCCCTGATCTATTCCCTATCCTTCTCTTCACCCTTTCCTCTATCACTCCTATTTGCTCTAGCTCCAACTCTCTGTAACCCCTTGCGAGCTAGTGGCTTCCCACCTTGCTTGGGGTGAAACGCTTAAAAAAATACGTTCAAGTACACACTACCCGTTCCAGGGATTGAACTCACAAATATGTCATCAAATTCACAAACCAGAATTCTAATCCATCTGGCTATTCTCCCGTGAAATTCCTTGAAGATTACGTGGATCGATAAGGATGGGGGCACAACTGCCAAAATGATGTAATAAGAATAACAAAGATGAGGATAATAGTCCGTGTGTAAATAATGTAAATAATTATAATTCCTCATCTCCGAAATTCAAACAGAAATTATTTGAGTTTAGTTTTTAAGATCTTGTTTCAACAGACACATTGTTAACCAATTTTCTTATGCGCCTAATCAAATTTGAGAGCATGTTAAAAACATTCTAAGATGGCAGTTTTTGAAAAAATTCTTTCTTTTTTTTCCTTAAGAACAATGTATTCGGAAACAGCAATTCTATATAAAACAACTATACATCTATTCACATAAAGAAAAAAAAAGAAGAAAAAACATTAATAACAGTAACAAATGTGCCAGTGGCACTAATTTATTCTACACAGTTCGAATTGTGATATATGTTTAATGGCGGGAAAATACGCTGTTTGTCAGCCATGTTTGGAAATGAAGCGTAGGTGGCTCTTCAGTTATGGCGTTCAAAATGCATTTCTTTTCTCTTCCGGAAACTATTCTTCTCCAAGAAGCTCGAATATATCGTTCATGTTATTGAATTTATCTCGGGAATAATATAGCCGACCATACCAACAGCCCTCAGCTGATTTAGGAAGTTCTCGGAAGTTTGCTGTAAGTTTTACCCTATAAATTACTACGTAAACTGTAATATTATCTGCGACTCTGCGTCTGTTCGCATCGTGAATAACTGGTCTTCACTTATCGCCTGCACTGCACGTTGTCTCGAAGTATGTCGTTTTGAATATTCAGAGAATAATGAAACCGTTTCATCTTCTAAGTGATGTGAAAACGTTTCCTTTTCTTGAATCGCTGTCTTGTTTTTCTTTTCTTATATCAGCGGATGTCCGTCAAGGTATCTGATGGTAATTAGGATCTTAATTCGAGGACATGAGTTGTTTGTCTTCCCAACAGTTTGACTATTTATCGAGAAGTCGCTATGTTTTTCAGTTCTACTTTTGCTATATGAAGTTTAATGTGGCTTTTTCAAATGTATCCAAATTTGTTGAACGTGCATAAAGAGTTATTCTTTATGACATTGTCTGTTTTTCCGTTAAAGTTTCAGAGTTAAAAGTTTTTTTGAATTTTTTAACACTAAGCGAGGCGAGAACGCCACTAGTACACAAGAGGTTACAAGGGGTGAAAGTGAAAGAGAAGACTGAGAATAGGAAGGATTGAGGAAAGGGTAAAAGATGAACGGGATTCAAGAAGACAGAAGATGGCGATTGATGTTGCATTTAAATTTTTGAAGATTGTAGTTGACAGGGAAATGAAGTTCCACAGACAGAAAGTGCGAGAAAAGAAACTGTTGGAGAAGAAGTGGCGGTCGCATTTAGCTACTTCAACAGTAAAAGGGTGGAACCTAGATGCCAAGCTAATAGCACGCTTAAATTCATGTTGTCGGGGCACTAAGGAAAAAGCTCGTCGGAGCAGTTCCCATGAGGATATTTGTAGAAAAGACAGAGGGAAGCCACGTCACGTCGGTGAGAAAGTGACTGAAGTCGAGATGCCAGGTCAGGATCGATTACATTGCAGATCCTTCTTTGGATTTTGTCAAGAATCTCGAGATCTACATCAGGAGCACCAGATATGGCATCAGTATTCAATACACGGGAGAATGGTAGTTACTTAGAACAAGAAAATCTGGAAGTTGTGGAGAGTCATGATCACTCACTCCCTGATAGGACATGGCATATAAAAGAAAAAGAATTATGAGAAAACTGAAAATAAACATATTCATAAGAATTTTCAAACCAAAATATTACTTTTCTATTAATATATCCTTCGAGAAAAATAATTAAAAACTAAATATTCTCGTGGCCACTCGGGTTTATCAAAAAAAATATTTCATTTAATTAAAGCAAAAAATCGATTTCCGTTTTCAGATTGATTTTTACATCCAGTAGTCGAGAAGCAACATTACAATCTATGACTTATTAATGGTAAACAAGTTTCTAAGCTCGAATCAAATATGGCTTACGGTCAATAATGGCATCCCAAATTTCCAGGAACCAGTTAAAGAGGAGGCTAATACTTAATGCCATTAAGAGGCAGCTGAAGTTTCTAGGACACATAATGAGGAAGGAGGGCCTGGAGAATCTGATACTCACGGGTCGAATAGAGGGAAATAGAGACAAGGGAAAACAACGCGTGACATACCTGCGGACTTAAGCAAGTGGATGAAAGAACGTGGTCTGGAGGAGGAAGCAGAGGGAAAGAACTTGTTGAAAGCTGCAGGAGATAGGGTGAGGTGGAGAGCCATGATCGCCTACGTCCTGAAAGGACATGGCACATTAAAAAAAGAAAGAATCTATAGGAACCTACTCTGCTAATTTCCTTTTGGAGGTTAAATTTAAAAAAAAGGGCGAATCTTCAATAAAAAATAAGAAAGTGTAAATCATGAAAGAAAGAAAGTAAGAAAGAAAGAAAGAAAGAAAGAAAGAAAGAAGTGGTCACTGAATAGTCGTCAAGTTTCCTTAAAGGGAATATTAAACACTTTTCGCTGAATTTGCAGCTATCTGACTTTTCCTTTGTTTGGCTTTTCCGTCAACTCTCTCTCTCTCTCTCTCTCTTTCGCTAATTTTTCTACACAGCTACCGCTATCTATGTCTTTCTTTTACTTTTTCTTTTTTTTTTCTTCCCCGCTGATTGCTGTTTATTCTTGTGATAGGGGTGTGTGTGTTTATTAGAGTCTCACTAGGTGCGCACGAGCGTATCATAACTAACATTTTTCCTAGACCATCGGCTATTAATATATAAGATTATTTTCGGATAATCCAACAACCACTTCGCCAAGCTTTTATAATTATAAGAATCGGTTCGCGCGAACCAGTAAGATGCAACAACTGCTCAGGTCCACATCACATTAAAACACTGATTTCCGTACGATCACCAAAGTTAAGCAACATTGAACCTGGTCAGTTCCATTTCCCGTTGGGTTCGTTATATACACCTTGGGAAAGATATGAATCCACCTCTTCTCTCCCAATCTATGGGTTAAAATTGTAACACTTGTATCACGAAACCATTATTAACTCGACCTTCCACACCGCCGAAAACATTATTTACTATCTAAGACTATTTCCTTTAAAGGGGGATAAGCCGTAAAAAACGAATCAATTTTAGAGTTCCAAAAGTTTTGCCTGCCGTTATCTTTTCTTTTAATTAAAAACAAAACGATTTAGAGAACTCCTACACTCTTATACAAACTATCACCATTCTCACTCAGATATACTATACATGTTCAATTAGTCATAAAGAAATTCTGTGCATATGATGATTGAGACAAAGTTAATGCTATATCGCCGGTTCGTTATAGCAAGAAATGTAGAAACTTGTTTGAGATAAAATTGTAAACTGAGACTCATTTCAATCTATGGAAAATGACCTTGCATGATTAATTATCGCTGTAAAGTTATCAATTATAATGCCGTATATAGTATAATTATGGCTTTATTTTCGTATTTAAACACAAAGTTGACAATACCTGGCGATCGCCTAATTGTTTACCAGAATCTCTGTCTAGATAATTACTTTTCATTAATTTGTTTGATTCGTACTCTCTCTAACATTTGGCTTTGTAATAATTTGTTTATCGGTATGATCTTGTGTCCATACCTTTCCACATATTTCTTCTTCTTCTTCTTCTTCTTCTTCTTAATAATAATAATAATAATAATATACAATGAAGTGTCGCTAGATCGCAAGGTTCATTCTTCTTCCATTCTATTTACGATCTTTAATCTCCTGCACGAATCAGTTGTTAAAGCGCGTCGAAATAACAGGAAAAATCACATCCTCCATTTTTATTTCCTTTTGTCTTTTTTTTTAGCAGAAAATCATAAATATCCTAAGTGAATCTTTTCTTATCATGAATCAGGCTTTTACGGTATTAAATATAAAGGGTTGGAGATTATATTTAGATGCAGAATGTTCTTCCAGTATTCCTGTTATAATTTCCATGATAATTGTATTTTAACTCTAGGAAGACAATAGATCGGTTTTATTTTTAATTTATTTATTAAGTATGAGCAGAAAATACAGAAACCATATGGGTATAACATTTATCACACGAGTGATTGCAACAGTTCACTCTCCAAGTAAACTCATATATATTGATTGAAATATCAATCTATCATTGTCATTATCTATCTATCTATCTATCTATCTATCTATCTATCTATCTATCTATCTATCTATCTATCTCAGTTCTCTTCGTATCTATCTATCTATCTATCTATCTATCTATCTCAGTTTATTCATATGTATACTTATCATTTATATATCCCGCCAATGAGATTGAACTGCTTAATCTATTTTGCATTTATTAAATAAAGAAAGTCTTACTAATGTTGTCTGAATTTCTAATCACTAAGCATTGAATTGTTTTTCTTTCATCTTATTTTGCTGTTCGCTTGCACTTACTAATATTCATTAAACTGCCCGAGTTTCGTAGATAAATTATTAATTTTCGATTAATTTTTCTTTCCTATTATTTTCGTTGCTGATTTAGTAGTCGAAATATTAGTCTTAATTTAACCTAGTTTATTACATAAAGTATTATCAGTAATAATTTTAACTAGTTTTTGTTTTCCTTTTTTAAACAAATATCGAATAAGAACAAATATGGCGATATGATTATTTCAATTCCCGTATGTTGGTTGCTTTTATCATTTAATTCGTAAGGGTTTCTTCGAAATGCAGCTTCAAATGTTGCTGACTGCTTCCTTATTTTTCGTTTCTTGTTGTTCTGGATTTAGATTTTAAAACAGTCTGAACATTTCAAAAATAAAAGAAAATGAAATAAAAAATTAATAATGCCCCACTTAATTATTAGCATTTATACTAGTTTATGTTAGTTCCTTTTCGATGAAAAGTAATAAAACAATTGAAATGTTTCAGATTAAAGATGAAGCATTTTCTGATGGATATGTGTAAAGAGCATGCGCAATCTGGTGAATGTTTGTAAAGGACATGCGCATCACTGGTTCATTTGAAATTGCTACAGAGTTAACATTTTCCCGCCATTATTTTTTATCATATTGTTTTTATATGGTGACTCGGGAAACAGTAAGTTTCGATTGAAAATATTTTTTCTTGAAATATTAGATAAAATTCAGAAATTAATCTGTGAAGCTTCTTACAAATATTGTCTTGCCGGCGGTCGTTTGAGGATATGAAAAAAAAGTTCCCCAAAGTATTAATTCAATCAAAACCGAAATCTTTCTTTTATTATTATATACATGTAACGATATCAGTGTCAGCCAATATCTTGTTAAATTAAAACATCTGAAAGATGTTACTGGAATTGTTTCAGACAGATTTTCAACTCAGTGAAGTCGACCTCACAAGAACCATGTCAATCCTGACAGAGTTGCTGAAGCCAGAATTTGAGTTCTTGATAAATTACATTTTTAGACAAAGGTGACAGGACAAAAGAACTGTATTCTCTATAAGACAGTGATTACTAGCGCCGAAAACAGATACCCAGAGAAGGACGAGAGACCGTTTCGCCACGACACCGATTAGACTGCCCACCTTCCCTCGACACGCTTCATCTCTACCTCGCTAGTCTACAGGAGGTTTCAACCGAATAGCATTTTCTTACTGCCATAATCGGCTCAAGGTTTTATTTCGGTGGGTAAAGGTCTTGCCAAAGACATATTTTTAAGCCACAAGCATTTAAATGGAAGACGTTACACCCAAAGTACGAGACTGGTGTTTGGTCTGAGCTGCAAGATTATATGCATATTGTAGTTGACAGACGTTCTACAAAGTAAATTAAATATTTTGGTGACAGAATAATGATACTATATATATATATATATATATATATATATATATATATATATATATAGTATCATTGTTATTTATATATATATTCAGATAAGATGAGAACGAATAGAGTACAATTCCAACGTTCGTAACATTTAATTTAAAAGAGAGCTCAATACAAAGTAGAGCAATATTCTTTATTTTAGGATATTACATCGAAAACAAGGCAAAATCGCTATACAATTGCAGTCGTGTTTCGATGCGTATACAACACATCTCATCAGGCGATTGTAACTTACTGGCGATTAGACGATTCAGGTAGATTTAAAAGCAGAATACGAAAAAAATGAAGGTGAGTTGGTTATAAGGTTTGTGGGCTTTGCTTAGATCAACCAACCAAATAAGAGCTACGTTAAATTTAAACTAAAGGTAGAAGCAAACATTTAGAAATTATTTTTCATAAATGAGTCGTAGTGACAAATCAGTGACAGCAACAGACGTTAAAAAGGAGCAAATGTGAATGGATGCATATTGTACACTCCTCATAACCAATCCCCCACTTTTTTTTCTTCTTTCATAAAAAGAGGCTGTAATTTAAAACCGCCTGATGAGATGCCTTGTATATGCACCGAAACGCGATTGCAAGCTATTTTGACGACTGTAGCTATTCTATTTTGACATGTTTTCGGTGTAATATCCTAAAATAAAGAATATATATATATATATATATATATATATATATGGTGAACACTCCTATCATGAACGATAAATGAAGATCAGCATTGGATGGCGCCTTATGCATGATAGCAGGGGCTATTTCCGAGAAAATCAAGTAAGGGAAAGACATTAAATTTGTGCTTTCTTATTTGCGATATTAGCCCAGACTTACTGCAGGCAACAAAGCCACACTAATAGATGAAAGAAGATGATGATGAGGATGATGATGATGAAGAAGAAGAAGATGAAGAAGAAGAAGTGGAAGAAGAAAATGATGAAGAATAAGAAGATGGTGAAGAAGAAGAAGAAGAAGATGGTGATGATGATGATGAAGAAGAAGAAGATGGTGATGAAAAAAAGAAGATGGTGATGAAGAACAAGAGGATGATGAAGAAGAAAAAGAAGATGGTGATGAAGAAGATGATGATCAATAATAATAAGAAGATGATGAAGAAGAAGATGAAGAAGAAGATGTTGATGAAGAAGAAGAAGATGATGAAGAAGAGAAGAAGATGATGATGATGAAGAATATAAAGAAGAAGATGAAAGAGAAGCTGATGAAGAAGAAGATAAAGAAGAAGAACATGATGATGATGAAGAAGGAGAAGATGGCGATAAAGAAGAAGGAGAAGAAGATGAAGAAGAAGATGGTGATGAAGAAGATCATGATGAAGAAGAAGATGATGATGATGATGATGATGGTGATGAAGAAGAATATAAAGAAGAAGATGACGAAGAATAAGAAGATGAACATATAGATGTATAATAATAAAAGAAGATGAAGCAGGAGAAGATAAATAATAATAAGAGAAAGATGAAGAAAAAGAAAATGAAAAAGATGAAGATGAGGAAGAAGATGAAAAAGAAAAATATAAAGAGGATGACGGCGCGAATAATAATAATAAGAAGAAGAATATAAAGAAAAAGAAGACGATGATAAAGAAGAATATAAAGAAGGGGGAGAAGAAGAAAATGAAGAATATGAAGAAGAAGAAGATGGTTGATGAAGAAGAATATGAAGCAGGTGATGAAGAAGATGACGAAGAAGAAAAATATGCAATAGAAGAAAAATATGAGGAACATGATGACGAAGAGTAAGAAGAAGAAGGAGAATATAAAGAAGATGACGATGACGACGGCGAAGAAGAATATGAAGAAAAAGATGATGATGAAGAAGGTTAATAATAATAAGATGAAGAAAAAAAGGAGACGAATACAAAATAGATGAATAATAATAATAATAATAATAATAATAATAATAAGAAGAAGAAGAAGAAGTGGAAACTTTAATTGATAGGATATATAACTATGATCACATACCTTTTCAAACTTTTATCTTCTCTTTTGTTGTTTTATTCTTAAATCAATTCAGTCCAAGCAAGGTGATAACACCACTAAGATGCAAAAGGCCGGCTGGAAAGAAACACAAAGTAAACCCAATACTAAACAGGAAACAAGGGGTAAACCTGTTCAAAAGACCAAGGAGGAGTATGAACTGGGCGATAGGCTTATCTATTTTCTCCTATTAAAATGCTTATAGAACATTTCTTTCAATACATTCTTCGGCCTTCTCGTATTGCATGAAGTATTTTCATTTTCCCATTTATTTTCCGGGTGACTGTTTTCATGTTTTTCGTTTGTTTGCTTTTTAACAAATATGAAGTTTAAAAGAAAAATAACTAAATATTTAAAACTAGAGAAAGATGGAAAATATATGGCACAAAAAAATTCTGTTGATAGCAATAAAGAAGATGACAATAGTTTGGAAAAAAAATATAAAATAAATGAAATATTTTCTTGGGGTCGCAATAAATCGATGGTTAGTCTGTTAGACGGGAACTAAAATTATAAGTTGCAAGCCTTTCACTTTCCATGGAAAGTCTTTCAGACAATTACATTCCTTCATTATAACTGCACCACACTTCACGGCTAACACCTGCCATGCCACGCCCATTCTAGCCTTTTACAGGTTGAACCTTAGTGTAAAAAAATGGATAAATTGTCGTCTAAATTACGCAAAAATGAAAATAATACGGACATCTCACTTTAACGAATATATATTTACCAAAATTACACAAAAATATCTTGAAATATTAAAGAGTAAATTTATTCAATAAAATCGCCATTGGCTTCAACCTCGGCCTCCAGACGACTTCGGAATCTCCTGCAACTCTTCTGGACGGTCCTCCTTGTCTAAGTTGATGAAAGCTGCTATAATCCTTTCTTTCAGTTTATCTTTGGTGTTACAATGAGTTTTGTTCGTTTCTCGCTGAACTGTTCCCCACTTATAATAATCAAAAGGGTTGCAGTTTGGGGAGTTAGGTGGCCTTATGTAAGGAGTGATGTGGTCACAGAATTTGTCTGACAGCCATGACTAGGATCTCCTGCTAGTGTGGCATGACACAAAATCCCGTTGCTAGACATAGCATCTTCCAGCATCCACCCTCTTGACCCAGGGAAGCACTACCTCCTCAAGGCACTTGATGTAGGCCTCCATATCGCATCTGAGGCCCTCACCAACAAATTCGGGAGTTCTTTTCTTATCAGACCGATGAGAGTGAATTTTACAAGCGGTTGTGCCTTCGTAATCATCATTAGACTCATCCAAATTTTTCCGAATCCTCACTGTCCTCAGATTGACGCCCAAATACTCTGAAATATTCGTATTGGTGCTTCCGGCTCGAATGCCAAACAGTACGGCATGTCGTTTCCAAATTTCTGGTAGAGTGAATTGCGGCATGGTTCTCTTTTTCTCACAGACGGTGGCCAACTGAACATACTATACTGCACAGTCAACAAAGTAAAAAGCAAATAACGCGCATGCGTGAAATTAAAAATA